TACTGAAATAAAATTGCAGAATGATAAATAACACATAGAGATGTTAACCTAGTTTGGTGCAACCCACATACTCTAGGGGCTACTAAGCCAGGAAGGAAATTCACTATTAGTAGTATTAATTCAAAGTCTAAATAGTCTCAGTTTAAAACTTCTCACTTAATCCCTACCTTGTGCAACTTCTAAATAGGAACCTTCTAGATATGAGAAATCACCATCTCACTCCCTAAATTACCGTAGTGATATCCAACAGTCCCAGTCCCAGTGACTGTATCAAAATCATCTCAACAAGAACATTACACTTCCAATATGAATACTTAGTCAATACTCTTTACTAAGAACAATACTTAGTTTTCCTTAAAAGCTCCAACAAAGAATAATACTCAACTCATTGCCTAAAGGCTTCTGAGTGAAAACATAAAGTCTACCACAAGTATCATAAGGTACAAGGGTGACTTACAACTACACAAGAGACTCTCAAAGCCTAAGAATCTAAGATTCCCCTAATTTACAAATTATTGAAAGTTCTTAAAAAATATTAGGTTAGGTCTTCTCTTTAAATACACCTCTGTAGCCCATGGGCTTCGAAATCTGCATCCAAATATTTCTTGATCCACAAGCTGAGTGATGCAGCAATTGTGGAGCAAAATCTCCTTAAATCTTGGAACAAACAATACAAAGTTCCTAAATTGTTTCAAGGCTCAATTTAGTAACTAATGTATAGCTGGAGATATAAAACCCGTTCCAGATTAATTCATCTTGACCTATGAAATTTACTGAGATATATCCAAAAGAAATATTGCATAATCAAATCAAATATGTCAAAATTTAAAACAACAATGTCTACTGTACCAGACCAAGATGTCATGACATCTACCTTCGACATCTGGTTGAAAAACTCATAACATCAAACTTTTATGACAATTGATAAAAATGTTGCAACACCTTGATCAACATCAGTATAGAACCATGTTTTAGCAAAATTATGTCAATCCTAAAACGATGGAACTAACAGATTTCTCGGCGTATAAGATCATAACTCAGTTTACGATGATCTTGTGTCTGCTTAGTTCTAACACAGGTGTGGACTTGAGAAATATATCCTATCACCCAGGAATTACTTCTCAACATGTATGATATTGCCAACCTAAACATACATTCTTCACAAACACACCAAATTTTGTACCTCTCCGCATTTGTGCGATCTACTTTAAAATCCACAAAGTTTACCATGTAAAACTTTTTATAGCTTGCACACAATCTTCTTTCAAACAAAATTTGTCTCACTCTTTTAACTTTTCATCTGACTGCATATATGGGTTGTAGAATGCATCTGATGATGGTTCATCTCCTCCCAAATTAAAGTTTATCATATGCAAAGGTGGTGTGTACACTTGAGTTGGAGGTATTGGACCTTGATCACCGTCTTCAGAATCATCGTCCACCATATGATCAACTTCTAATTTTGGTTCTCCTTCTTCTTCTTCTTCGTCAACGACATTGACTTCAACTTGTTCGCCTTTGATGTGATCAATAACTTGTGACTCAATGGTTGTGAAAATTGAGGTTGTTGGAATAAAATGTACAACTCAATCGAGCTGTACCTAAAATATTCATTATTACAAAACATATTTTGAAGATCTTTGTCATCTTGAACCTCTACCTGGTAAAATTTTATTTGGTTCGTGCCATAAAAAACAGGATGTTGGTAGAAGATGTGTGACACTGGACCTCGTTCAAATTTGACATCTAGTCGCTTTTTGAAATACGAGAAATTGAATTTTTTGTTTAAACAAAACTGGACATTATCGGTGTTTTGAAATAAAAACCTGGATATATCACAATGGTAAGTCTCACCATTGACGTGTACATTCATAACGTATTGTGGTGCATATGTCATTTTGTTGTTTGAGTGTTTGAGGGATGAGAATTAAGCAAAATCGGTCCAGATTAAATAGGTACATATGGAAAACACTAAATTTCCTAGAAATACTCAAGCCAAGTGAGATGACGCCTCCGTTCAAAAATTGATTGCATACATAATTTGAAATGGCGCATTGGTACATGACAAAACAACTAGCCTACCATGCATATGCCCCAATCTTCCACCTAGCAAGATCTGCCACCTAGTATGCACCATAGGCTGCCACCTAGCCTGCTCCACGCCACTTTGAATAGTGTATCCCTTAGGCGTCATCTCACTTGACTTAAGGGTGTCACGTGCCAGCCATGCACACCACCCTTAACCACCTAATTAATTCAAACCTCTACCCATTCACTTATAAATATTTATCTCAATTAGTTTGTTTACATCACCAATCCTCACACTCTATGATACACACTCTCATACTCTCTGATACACACTTTCACACTATCTGAAACAATTCCAATTATGGATCTCCTCACCATGGGCAATGATCATAGAGGAACAATAGCAAACATTATCGCCTTTGTAAGTTTTAATATATTCATTTATATGTGAATTTTATATTTAGTCATACACACTTCATTTATATATGGATTTTTTATTTAGGATACATCGAGACTTCGATGCCACTCACACTCTTATGTTTCTCCCGACCCGTGGATCGTCCAATATCTAGAACGTGCTTGTTTTGGACATGTTATTAACATATCAAACTGCATCATTGATACAAAGTTTATACTCATATTATTGGAAAGGTGGAGAACTGAGACACACACATTTCATCTCTCAATAGGTGAATATACCGTCACACTAGAGGACATGTACATGTTGTTGGGTTTCCCTATTGAGGGTAAAGCGGTTAATGGACCGGTTCAACAACCTAATGCCCTATGCGAGGAATTGTTGGGCAAAGATATGATAGGTGGATCAAGGGCGAGGGGCCAAGGTATTTTGCTAACGGACCTTAAAGAGCATTATGCATCTCTTCACTTAGATGAAAATTCGTTCGAGGCAACTAAATTAGTTAAAGCTAGAAATTATATTATGATACTATTTGGAAGCCTGTTATTCCCAGAAAGTACACGTAATAGTGTTAATTTTATGTATTTAAGTTTGTTTAGGAACTTTGATAAAATTAGAGGGTATGGTTGGAGTTCTGCAGTTTTAACATATCTATATAGTTCATTATGTAAAAATACCAAAAAAATACTTGTACTTTTTATGGATGCGTTTTCTTGCTCCAAGCACAAGGTTGGTGGAGAATGGAGTCTCTTTCCCCCCATCTACAACAACACCTTCATGTTTCCATATGTAACAAAGTAAGTCTATAACGCTATTTATATTTTCTCACTTTATGCTAAATAATTGTACATAATTTTTTCTCGTAAAAAAACTGTACATAATTTTTTAATCTCTTTTTCCTTTAGGTTTTGTGTAAGAGGGATAGATTACAACAAAATCTGAGACAAAATATCGCTATACATCGTAATCTTTTGGATCACATAGACCTATAAGATGGATTGCCACTAAACTATTCTTCTTTTAAGTTAATTATTATTAAATTTATCATTATTATAATAAAATTTTATCTGCAGTTTATTTGGAGACGATATCTGGATTTGGACCATCAACCCAACCCCAAAGATGAAGCAATTTGGACTGCAAAAATTGCAATCATACGTTTCAACGTTATGGAGATGCACCACAACGGCCGTGTCAAAATGCAGATATGGTCAATAGTTGAGTTGGTACAGATCAATTACTAATTCTGAAATGTTTGTGTCTGACCCAAGGTATTTGATCGATCCACTCATACGAGTTGTGTTGCCCTCAATGCCCAACAATCATACACCACGCAACAACAAATCCAACACATATCAACCTCTCAATCAACACAATGACGTTATAGATCCACAAGCACCCAACCCCAATCACAAGACCAATACCAATACACACACATGCTCCGCACGCAATCACAGTACTAAGAACAAAAATCCTACATCCAACATCATGATGTGGACCCCTCAACATCTCACCTTAGCCCAGACATGAGCCTACCTGAAGAATATTCCCCAACCAACCCAACTTACCTTCAACCATCACATCACCCTAACACCTAACAAACATATGGGTACCAAACTCCACAAGACTCATTTCATTTTTATCCCATTTATTCAGACGACAGTGCTATCGACCACCCATGAAACTCTACCCCCACCAATACGACCAAACTTTGAGGGCATGAGTAACCGACTGTTTAAAAGCGGGTCTCCCAAATATGATGATCTGACAGATTTCATGGACCCTGACCGCATTGAACTAGTAGGACCCTCGACCCAATCACAAGAGGAACATCGTAGAGTCACACAACGAGTTAGGCGAGAACGCGGGTGTGGAATAACGTGAGTGACCATTAAATAATATGTATTTTTTATTCCGAAATGTAATCGTTTCATTATTCTAAAAAATCAAAAAAAATTTATGAGACAATTGTTTATTATTATCTATAAATAAATAAAAATGCACCTAAACGTCATATGAGATGACTTAGACAAATCAGATATATCTAAGCGGGTCTCCCTTCTAAATTAAGGTGCATGCACCATTTTATATGATTTGAGATTATTAAATATTTCTTAAACATGATTATTTGAATAATTTTTTTTAAAAAATAATTATTGATATATTTTTTTCAATACCTTATTATTTAAAAAAAAAAAAACTAAGAAATGTTAGTAGTATAATTTTATATTTTTTTTCAATACCTTATTATTTAAAAAAAAAAAAAAAACTGAGAAATGTTAGTAGTATAATTTTAACAAAACTCGAGCAAGGCGAGTGTAATTTTTCAAAAAAAGAAAAATGCTAAAATGCTTATACACATTGTGGGGATAAAATTTGATTTCCCTCCTCGTGTCACTCACTGGCTTTACTTCCTTAGCCGTATCTTACTCTCTCTCAAAACTCCACAACTCACAAAACCACCTCCTCCCTCTTCTTCTTCCTCCTCAGTTGAGTTTCCCGAAACTGAAACTCCACTGAATGAAAACACAAACGAACTAACTAACTAACCACCATGTCAACAACGATTCTCTCTCTTTCTCCTCCTTTCTCCGTCTGCAACAAACTCAATCCTCTCCTCTTCTACACGCGCCGTCGCACCGTTTCTCTCTCCTCCCGTTATCCCCGTTCTCGCTTCAACCGCTTCGCAACTTCAATTCGTCTTCTCACAGGTTCTCTTCGCTTTCCATTTCTTACAATCCAACTCTCGTCTTGTTCAATTTTCACCGTTTAGTTTAATACACGCTTAGTTTTTCTTCGCATATGCAAATTTATCTATCGGTTTAGGAATGAGTGAGTTTTCGCTTTTCAATAGCTTAGGGCTTGTTTGGATAGACGCATTTTAATTTCGTTGTTTTGCTGTTCAATTGTCACCATTTCAAACACTTCATTCGTATATTTTCATAAAATAATTGAAGATATTAGTTTAAGAGTTGTGTTATGACATAGATTTGATATCAAATTGAATGGTTGAAGCTGTTTAAATATGTGGTTAAATATGAAGCACGGACACACCGGAAATACTAAAAATACTAAATAAGAACTAACATGTTGACACCCGTAATAATTTGAAAAAAATGAATAAATTCTAGTAATCACAAGTAATAATTTGCAACTCACGAACCATAATGAACACCATTGATCGAGATTTCGAACGTCATTAACTGCAATTTTTGAGGTGTATATTTGAGTACAAATTTGTGATTGTTGATGAATAATATGTGTATATATTTGAACATCTAAAAGTCATGTGTCTTTGAACATTGTTTGGATGGTTAATGAATATCGGTATATTTGAACACCTGAAAATTATGAATTATGGTTAAGGACGTTCAAAATCATGGTTTGTTGTGTTTAGTGGTTAGTTAACAAGGCGTGGCACATTGTTGTATGTATTAATCATCTATTGAAAGTGGTTAACCTCATATTTCAGCTGCGTTAACTATGCAATTTGATGTCAAATTTTTGTGTCAAATTGTCGTTTCTTAATTTAATGCCGCGAGTTTTTTTATTTCTCCTCTGTTTCTCGATAAAATTAGGGCTTTTTTTTTGGATATACCTTTTCAAATTTTGTTTCTAGTTTTCTTTAATAATTAACAATTACAAGTTGTGTTTAGCTATGACAAAATAAGACACTGGATACGATACTCACATAGGTGTCGGTGTGGGATACTAGACACCGTCAATCTCAACTGTTGGTGCTACATATGTTTTCGGTTTGAACAGTTTGTGCATAAATGATGAGAATAATATTTTTGGTGATGAAGTTATGAACTCAACAGTATCTTGTTTGTTTTTCTGTAACTGTTTTTTTTTGTTTTTTTTTGTTGTCAATGTTTCAGTTGCTGCTGCATCAGAGAATAATGGTGTCTTCACTTCTCCTGAGATAGCAAAAACTTTTGACTTTGCTGCAGAAGAACGCATATATAATTGGTATTTCTCTTGCTTGGGTATTTTTGTTTGGTTCCATGTGATATGTGCTCTGTGCAAGTGTCTTATTTTCTTTGTTTTCACACTAGAACTATAGTATTTCTTGATTAAATGAAATTAACTAAAGTGAATTGTTGAAGTGGGAAAATGGGGATTAATAGCTGAATGGGTGAAGGTTGATAGAAATTGTATTTGTTGCAATATTTAACATAAATATATGTATCTGAGACGTGAAGAGTCACGAAGAATAAGAGTCAGACGCGTTGACAATATTTCAGGAGCATGTCAATGGCGTCTCAAGAGAGTATTTGAATTTGTTTGTTTAATATTTTTAAAGAAATGGTCTCTGTTTTGTTGGTGCATCATAGATTGCCGACAAGAGGGAAAAATTGGAATAACCTGTTTCTGTTTTGTGTTGTATTGATAAGTTGTTTTGGATCATGGATGGGAATTTTGAACTCATAGATATACTATGTTTGTGTATTTTGGGTTGTTGTAAGTAACATTTTCATTATGATTATTGGATGCTAGGTGGGAGTCTCAAGGGTATTTTAAACCGAACTTCGACCGGGGAGGTGATCCTTTTGTGATATCAATGCCACCTCCTAATGTTACCGGTTCTCTTCACATGGGGCATGCAATGTTTGTGACTCTTGAGGTTTTTCAATTATTTTTCTGTTTCATGTATGTTATTACATATATATTTATACATCTAGATGTCTGAATGTACTGTCATGTGTTGTAAATGTTTCTGAATGGAAATGCAAGAGATATAGTGGTAGAGATATACCATTTGATTCATCTTGCAGGCTTCTATTTGTAATATTTTCTGTATTTCCTTAGTGCCCAGTTCTCACTTCTATTTTTCATAATATTTCCCAAGATAATTGAAACCTTGGATTTCGTAATATTTCCTTAGTGTTTGTTATTTATGTGCATATGATGTTTGGCATTGCATTAGCAAAAGAAAATAGATCTTTCTTCCTTTATTTATGTTCTTTTCTGTCTGTTTGTCTGCCTAGTGATACTGTCTGCCTTGTATGAGGTATCAGCAATGTGATTTGTTAAGTGCTATTGAGATATTAATGTTTACATTAGTAAGATATATATTTTTATTTATTACCATGCTTTTCCATCCAGGATATTATGGTTAGGTACAACCGCATGAGGGGAAGGCCAACACTTTGGCTTCCTGGAACTGATCATGCTGGTATTGCAACTCAGGTTTGTCAATTTCCGAAAACCCAAGACTTATATCAACTTTCATTACTTATTGAGAGGAAGCCAATTACCGGCTATATATATTGTTGACCTTAGCCTACACTTGGTAATCTTAATCTACACTAACTGTAACTAACTTCCTGAGTTAGTTACCGCTGTATAATCAGCAACTGCTACACTTAGTCTACTCAATAATTTTCACACACGAACACACCTGCTTAAGCTCAAATAGTGTTAGAAACATTAGGGAGCTCATGCGCATTGAGTTTGTCCCTAATCTGGAGATAAAAGTTATGTTAGAGAACAAACCCACTGATCCTAAGCTGGAACGTGCTGTACAATAAATGTGCATGAGCTCATGACATGTTAAGGTAGTGGATTGTGCGAGCATGTAGCACTGGATTCTTGGATACAATGAAACAACACTCTGATTGCTATAATAGAGTCTTGGAAGGAGGAAGGAAGGACACTGAAAGTTCTAGAAGTAAGGTCTGAATCCATAGTAAATCAGCAGTGACAGCTGCTAAACTCCTATATTCAGCTTCAGTAGACCAAGATTGGAACCAAGTTAGATGACTGCTCGAGAGGTAGACTTTCTATCATTGGGATCTGCAGCCCACTTTTTGCATCACAAAATGCAGTAAGAGAAAAGGGCGAATCTAAGACAGCAGGCTTGTGCTTTGTCAATGCTTCAAGTCTAAAGATTTTTGCATAGTTGGGCAAGTTAGAAATATAATATAAAAAACGTTCACATGTCTTTCCATAAGAGCTTAAGCTTTTGGGATAATCAAATCACAGCAAATGGCTTTCTAGTTCCTAATTATGCAATTTCATTTTGCTTCTGAGAATTGTATATTTCTTGCACTTTCTCAGTTTATCTTTTCAGTTGAAGATATTAGTTATCCACTCTCAATTTTGTTCTCCTTCTACCAGTTGGTTGTTGAAAGAATGCTAGCTTCTGAAGGAATCAAAAGGGTTGAAATGGGTAGAGATGAATTCACAAAAAAAGTGTGGCAGTGGAAAGAGAAGTATGTCTTTACATCCTTGTTTATCTTCCTGCCATCTAACTTTTTGTTTTACCACAGCCAATGGAATGCCCTTCTGAATTAGAAGGGCTTGAAGCTCACTATTCTTATTATTTATGTTAAAATTTAAAATTACAAGAGGTTAGAATCCAGAGATATTTTCTATGATTAAATAAATATTTATAGAGGTGCAAATTCTTTAGGGTCATTTTCTTAACTTCCCTCCTCCTTTATTCAGGTATGGTGGTACTATCACAAATCAGATCAAGAGACTTGGTGCTTCGTGTGATTGGTCTAGAGAGCACTTCACCCTTGATGAACAGCTAAGTCGTAAGATAGTTTTCTAGTAATTGGAACTTTATCTTGCCTAGCGAACTTTTCGGCACGTATTTGAAATGTTACGGTGATGCAAATAAGATAGTAAATATAGCTGGTACAGTTTTATTATATTTGTATATGCATTTCTTATTATTTTCCAAACTATTACATGTATCTTACTTTGTCTCATCAATGTATATCCATCATGATTATGTATTAGCATTTATTTACTTGTGTAACATATACTGATGATTTGTAATTTCTGCAGAAGCTGTAGTTGAAGCATTTGTTAGGCTTCATGAGAAAGGCTTGATTTATCAAGGTATAAGCTGAGGTTACATACTTTCACTATGGTATATATTTTATTTTTCAATAAACTTTGTTACAGTCTTCCGTATTGCTTGAAACTTTCTAAAATCTTAGATGGAGTTTGACAGTCAATTTTGTTCAAAGAATCAAGTGGAAAACTCTGCTTCATAATGGAGTTTATGTTGATATGATATAACATATGTTTGAACCGTAAATGGTATCTATCAATGACAAACCATCAACTAGTGTGTGAAAGTGATTGTCCTATAAGTAACGATTGATTAGCACCAAGGTTTGGCTTTGAGTTGGTATATTACCTTGGTATTGGATGCACTAAATGGCCCTGCCCATGAGTCAGTGCCTTTATACATTTATTTAATGCAGTCCTATTGCTGAGTTGTGAGAAAGGTGGAGAAAATCTTTGGCATTAAAGAAAGTATTTCTCAATTGCATGGAAGAATTTACGGTGAGTGCAATTTGCCCAAGGATGCTGCTACAAAAAAATCCAGAGAAGTTTTATTAGAGAATGGTATGTTACAGTGCAGTAGTACACCGTGTTAAAAGGAGTTCAAATTGAACCAAACATCTATGTTTCCTTTCTACAAACCCATTACAGAGATACTACACGATAAAGAAAACCAATAGCAGGGAGCAATTTATAGAACATGTGAATCTGCCTCCCCAAACTGTTCAAGAGGTTTAAGCTGAGTATTGTACTGACGTTTTACCAGTATTAAATAGCGGTGCTATATTGCTACCCTGTAGTGTATTTTCCTGAGCCCAATATGAGAACTGCTACGCGATGCATCTTTTCCTATAAGGAGTTTAGAGCAATATTAACGACTGCTATAGTGTTTGTTTGCAGTTATATTGGATGTCATGGCCATAATGGGAAACATGTGATTTTCAGATTTAAAAAATAAAGGAGAATGTATACCTATTTAAAAAAAAAGAAGAATGTATATATTTTTGCTTTGTATCTTTGTTTTTTCTTTTACTATTACTAAACACATATCAATAACAAAAGACTAAAAACGTACTACAATAAATAAAATTCATGAAAAATATAATTCATAAACTTGAAGACATTGCCAAAAGCTGCATGGCATAATTTCACTTGTAATTAGGTTGCCGTTAAGTTCAAGTAACTGCAAATAATAAAAGCAACAAAACAGAAATTAAAAATGTAGTTGTGCTCTTTCTTTTATCAGAGAGGAGTCAATGAAATGAGGAAAGTCACTGCTCAAACTAGGAGGAAAAAATATGGGAGAATAACATGCCGTAGACAAAAGATGAGCACAAGAGGGAATAAGTGAAAATGAAAGATTAACCCAAAAATGGAGGAGATAAATGTTGAATTTTGCAGACACAAATGTTATATTCATTCTTTATATATTATATAGTGGTGTAGGTAACACTGTCTTCCCTGTGCTTCAGGTTCTTATATGGTAAACTGGTCACCAACTCTACAGACTGCTGTTTCGGACTTGGTAAGCAGATTTTCATTTTGACTGTACTCTTGTTACTCTACTTAATTCATATATTCTTGGATGTTTTCATTGAACCTTTTCTTTTATGCTTAGGAAGTTGAATATTCAGAAGAATCTGGACATCTGTATCATATTAAATATCGCGTTGCAGGAGGTTCAAGGTACATGGTGGATGTGTTATAAATTATTTAGTGTTTCTATCTATATATTTTTTCTCAGAAGCATATCATCTGAAGCAACCTTTAAGCTCATGTTTTGATTATATTTTTATGTTATAAATTTAATTTAGTCTGACCAACATTTGAATTGAACTTTCTGTTATTTTGTTTGAAGGGACATATTTTGCCTTTACCTAGAAGTACATCTGAACTTACTTAACTTGGAATAGAAAACTGTGATCTATGTTGTCTGATAATTTTAATGTTATTATTGAATTAGGAGAGACTAAGAGACATTTAGGTTAAACCGTGTGTTATGAAAGCACTACGGAGACTTTATTATATATAGAGAGATTACAACTAATTACACTATATAATCGATGTGGGACTATTCTACATACAAATATCAACACTCCCCCTCAAGCTGGAGCATATAAGTCAAATGCACCAAGCTTGCCACATATATAATTAGTTCTGGGGCTTCGCAGAGATTTTGTAAACACATCTGCCAATTGATCATTAGAGTTGACAAAGCTTGTGACGATGTCGCCAGATTCGATCTTCTCTCTGACAAAGTGACAGTCTATCTCAATATGTTTGGTCCTCTCATGGAAGACTGGATTTGAAGCAATGTGCAATGCAGCTTGATTATCACATACAAGTGCCATTGGTCTTGCTTCTTCAATTTTAAGTTCTTTGAGCAACTGTTTTAACCAAATGAGTTCACATGTTGCCATTGCCATGGCCCTATACTCTGCCTCGGCGCTTGATCTTGCAACTACATTTTGTTTCTTACTTTTCCAGGATATAAGATTTCCTCCAACAAGTACACAGTACCCAGAGGTGGATCTTCTATCAATTGGTGACCCTGCCCAATCAGCATCAGAGTATCCAACTATCTGAGTATGTCCTTTATCTTCATACAAAACCTTTTCCTGGAGCACATTTGATGTATCTTAGAATCCGGATAACAGCATCCATGTGTTCCTGACAAGGGGAATTTAAGAACTGACTTACCACACTGACTGCAAAAGAAATGTCTGGACGAGTGACTGTGAGATAATTCAACTTTCCAACCAATCTCCTATACCTTCCCGAGTCTGATAGAGGCTCCCCCTGATTGGGTAGTAGTTTGACACTTGGATCCATAGGAGTATCAACTGGTTTAGCGTTCAACAAACCTGTTTCTTCCAAAATATCCATAACATGTTTCCGCTGAGAAATCACCAAACCATCTTTAGATTGGGCTACCTCAATACCCAAGAAATACCGGAGTTTACCAAGATCCTTTGTCTGAAATTGATTTGAAAGATGTTGTTTCAACTGGAGTATTCCCGACTCATCACTACCAGTTATGACAATATCATCTACATACACAATAAGATAAATACACCCTTGTACCGAGTGACGATAAAAGACAATGGTCAGCTTCACTACGGACCATACTAAATTGTTGTACTACAGTGCTGAATCTGCCAAACCAAGCTCTCGGAGTTTGCTTAAGACCGTAAAGAGACCTGTGTAGCCTACAAACCATATTCGATGACTCCCCCTGAGCAACAAACCCAGGTGGTTGCTCCATATATACTTCCTCTTCAAGATCACCATGTAAAAATGCATTTTTGATGTCAAGTTGATGAAGAGGCCAGTGTCGAATGGCTGCAATGGCTAGAAGAAGTCTAACAGATGCCATCTTGGCTACAGGCGAGAAGGTATCACTATAATCCAACCCAAAAATCTGAGTGTATCCCTTGGCTACCAAGCGAGCTTTAAAACGATCAATCTTACCATCTGGACCAACCTTCACTGTATAAAGCCAACGACAACCTACTAAAGATTTTCCGGTGGGTAGAGGAACCAGTTCCCAGGTACCACTGCTTTGAAGAGCACACATTTCATCAATCATTGCTTGCCTCCACTCAGGGTGAGATAATGCTTCACCTGGAGATTTAGGAAAGAAACAGAAGACAAAGAGGACAAACAAGTATACTGCAAAGGGGAAAGACGATGATAACATAAATCAATATAATGTGGAGAAGGATTTCGTGTTTGACGTATACCTTTGCGAAGGGCAATCGGAAGATCAGACTCAGGTTGCAGGATGGAATCCGGTGATGGCGATAGCGTCAGAGGAGAGTCTGCAATGACCTCAGGGACAGGTACGACCTCAGGGACATGTACAACCTCAGGGACAGGTATGACAGACGTTGGTTTACGACGCTGATATGTTTGAAGTGGACGAGAAGTGGGGGGGTCAACCGTAGGGGTTTCTCGTGGGACAGGTTCCCTAGAATGATGGGGAATAATGGGAAATGGGACGTCCGGAAGAGGTGTGGGAGTACTTTCCTGAAGGGGTTCCAGAGTGACTTGGGTGAACGCAAAATATGGCACAGACTCGAAGAAGGTAACATCGGCCGATATCAGGTATCGTTGCAGAGTGTGTGAGTAGCAACGATAACCCTTTTTGGATCGATGATAACCAAGAAAGACACACTTTAGTGATCGAGCTGATAGTTTATCAAGACCAGGGGAGAGATTATGCACAAAACATGTAGACCCGAAGACTCGAGGAGGAATTGGATGAAGAGGAGAGTTTGGAAACAAGATTGAATGAGGGATTTTATTATTAAGGACAGATGAGGGCATGCGATTTATGAGATAACACGCTGTGAGCACAGCATCCCCCCAAAATCTGAGAGGGACATTACCATGGAGAAGTAGAGTCCGAGTGGTTTCTACGAGATGCCGGTTTTTGCGTTCGGCTATCCCGTTTTGTTGAGGTGTATGAGGACAAGATGTTTGGTGTAGAATACCATTGGATGACATAAAAGTTTGAAATTGTTGGGATAAATATTCACGAGCATTGTCACTTCTTAAGGTACGAATGGACAAACCAAATTGGATTCTTATTTCTCGATAAAATTGTTCAAAAATAGAAAATAATTCAGATCTGTTTTTCATTAAAAATAGCCACGTGCAACGTGAAAAATCATCAATAAATGTTACAAAATACCTAGATTCAAAAGTAGACACAGTACGCGATGGACCCCAAACATCGGAGTGAACTAAAGCAAAAGGAGACGCAGCCCGTTTATTGACTCGATCAGGAAAGTGACTACGAGTATGTTTCCCTAATTGACAAGACTCGCACTGTAAAGTGGATAATTTAGATAAACTGGGCACCAACTTTTGTAGCTTGAGAAGACTTGGATGACCTAACTGCGCATGTATAATGAGTGGAGAATTTGTGGTGGAGCATGTGGTAGATGACGTAGAGAAGTAGTAGAGGCCTTGAGACTCACATCCGACGCCAATCGTCTGTCCCGAACTTCGATCCTGCAGAATAACATCACTGTTAGTAAAAGTGATAGAACAATTAAGGGAACGAGTTAAACGACTGACTGATAGTAGATTAAATGGGCAATTAGGTACATATAGGACAAAAGTAACAGAGAGATGGTAGAATTTGAACAGTACCGATCCCTTGGGATCGGGTTTGAGAACCATTTGCGGCAGTTATACTCGGTAAGAAACCAGAGGTAGAAAGAGAAGAGAAAAGATTTTTATTACCGGTAACATGAATCAGACGCACCAGAGTTGAGGACCCAAGGACCAAGAAGAGATGATTGAGAGACGCAAACAGATGAATTACCAGTGTGTGCAAACGAAGCCGTGGAACCAGAGGTCTGGTTAGTCTGACACCACCTGAGAAAATCCTCGTAGCTTGGCGTAGGGTTCTGAAGAGAAGGTGAAGTCTGCATAGTGTACGATTTTTCGAGAGTACGACTTTCTGTGAGTCGAAAACGAAAGCCGAGGGCGGATCTGGAACCGGAGGAGGAAGGCGATTTTCCGAAGAAATTTTTTTTTTCTTTTTTTCGTGGACTGTGCTTGGCAGAGGTCGCTGGAAAAAAAGGTGAGGCAAACCGGAATGATGACATGGTTTGCAGAAGAAAATCTCTTACCGGAAGACAGTGGGTCAACCGGGTAAAGCACGGCGAAGAATTGCCTCTTAGAAGGCTCTAGATACCATATTGAATTAGGAGAGACTAAGAGACATTTAGGTTAAACCGTGTGTTATGAAAGCACTACGGAGACTTTATTATATATAGAGAGAGATTACAACTAATTACACTATATAATCGATGTGGGACTATTCTACATACAAATATCAACAGTTATCATCATTCATTTTGAATTTGATTCTTTATGTAGATTTTCCGTACTTTCTTACTTTAGAATGAGTTTTTCTTTCTAAGGCTGTGCTTTGTGGTTTTCAATAAATATTTTTCGAATCAAGGTTTCCAATTTATATTAGCATTTAAATTCTTATGATTTCTCATTTTATAGGAATGATTGGCTGACTGTAGCTACGACACGTCCAGAGACTCTATTTGGTGATGTGGCACTGGCAGTTAATCCACAGGTAGGATAGAATCCCTGTCTTTCTAAGTTTTTGTACCTCTGGATAGAATTGAATACACATGAAATTGAAATTCTACTGTGTTGCCATTGGTTATTGAAATCCATTCACTTGGCCTGCTTCCACAGCACGTGGAACATAATTAAACATTTATATTGCTCAGCCTTCAGTAAGAAAATAAATATCAAACAAATTATTTTCAACCATTTTTTAGACTTGTGTACTTAAATTTCATGTTTCCAATATTGGCTAGCATAATATATTTCCTCTTATTTTTATCTTTGTTTTTTTCAATATTAAGTTTTAGTATATTAACTGATTCCACAAATGGTTGGGATTCACCAAACCAAAATGTATTATCATGAATTTCTCATAAAGCCAGAGCCGCACTAACAAATTGTGAATGCTAATTTCTTTGGAATTAATTGTATTGAAGTTCTAGCATTAGCCATTGCATACATATATATATATATATATATATATATATATATATATATATATATATATATATATATATATATATATATATATATATATATATATATATATATATATATATATATATATATATATATATATATATATATATATATATATAACACTGGTTGGAAACATATATAACTAGTTGAGATTATGTTATTGAGTTCCAAGAGAGCTCAAAAGAATATCGTTGAAAATGATGAATAATATTTTGTATTATTTGCTGAATTGTAGGATGATCGTTATTCCAAGTATATTGGTCAGATGGCAATTGTGCCGCAGACATTTGGCCGTCATGTTCCTATAATTTCTGACAAGGTATAAAAGTTTCAATTTATTAAACTGGTTTATATTTGAGTTTTTATTGTAGTGCTTGAATGCATATTATTTACATGGATTACATGATTTCTTGGTAGTATCATAATAAAATTGCGTGCTTGAAAATTTGAAGTTGATAATAAATACATTTGTATGAGTTATTTTCAATGTCTTGATGTGATGTTTTACCCCATGACCATTTTTATGGGATCCTATGAGTTCGAATAATTTATTTTGTTGTATTCCGTATACTTTTGTGATATAATTTTTTAATATTTTGAGGGAGGGTCACTTATCCTCATATCCTTGTAATATTACCTTCTTACTAAGAAATTAATTCGACAACCCACAACATTTTCCCCACCAAAGCTGGTTAGTTACATAGATGAAATGATGTCAAGTACAAACAACATTTCTAGTCTTGTGAATTAAGTCAAATACAAATGTAAAACAAGTTCAGTGCCAGATAGCATTGATATCTTCTATTGCACCCCTTTCTAACTTCTTCTGCTTGTAGCATTAATATTTCCTTGTCTCCAGTTTTTGTACATTCTTAAAGTCATCTTTTTAATCTAATAATTTTGCTAATAAATTTATTTGACAATGCTAATGTTTGAGATTGATTGGTGTTGTGTCACAGCATGTTGATAAAGAGTTTGGAACTGGAGTTTTAAAGATTAGTCCAGGACACGATCATAATGACTATCTACTTGCTCGAAAGCTTGGTCTTCCAATACTCAATGTGATGAATAAGGATGGCACACTAAATGAAGTTGCTGGCTTGTACAGGTATTTGTAGGGAAAAAAATTTAGTTGTTGAAAATTTAACATATATTGTGAGACTAATACATGAACCTAATATCCAATATCAGTGGCCTTGATCGATTTGAAGCCAGAAAGAAACTGTGGGCAGAACTTGAGGAGACAGGGTTAGCTGTGAAAAAGGAACCACACACTTTACGAGTTCCCAGATCTCAGCGTGGTGGAGAAGTGAGACAGCATTTTCTTAGTTAAATTTTAAAATTATGACTCGGCATTACATTTTGTCTGACTTTTGAATTATGAGTTGGCATTACTTTAATCTCACTTGGATGTTTCTTCATTTTACAATCATAGATAATAGAGCCACTTGTTAGTAAACAGTGGTTTGTAAGTATGGAGCCTCTTGCTGAGAAAGCCCTTCAAGCAGTTGAAAAAGGAGAGTTGAAAATAATTCCGGAAAGGTTTGAGAAGGTTTGTCCTCTCTTCTATACTTTTCCTATTCCCACCTCTTCTATACTTTTCTCTAAAACTAGAAAAAAGAATAATAGATTATGGATTTGATACAAACTACCCAACCATGACTGTTGGAGATCTATTTTCTCGACAATCTTTTTTGTTTATATTTCTCTGACTTACTTCTGTTCTTCTCTATACTTTCCACTTGCCCACCTTTATCACTGATGGTCTTGCTTAACACTTATTATTCTGTTTCTTTTCCTCTTTAATTTCCTTTATTAGGACAGATTCGTGGTGTAGCTCTATCATAAGAAATTAGTAATAAGGATTTGTCTATTTATATTAAACTCTTATTCTACAGTTATGCTTCAGAAAATAATGTTCAGTAAAATTACTTTTCTAGCATTATTTTGTTGATGGTATGAAGTCTTAGGTTATGCTTTACTCTTACCTTATATACTTCATGCTCACGGCAGATTTACAACCATTGGCTTTCAAACATTAAGGATTGGTGTATTAGCAGACAACTATGGTGGGGACACCGGATACCTGTTTGGTACATTGTTGGAAAAGACAAAGAAGAGGACTATATAGTTGCTAGGAATGCTGATGAAGCACTTGGAAAAGCTCACAAGAAATATGGAAAGGATGTAGAAATATATCAGGATCCGGATGTTCTCGACACTTGGTTTTCAAGGTATTTTATATTAGATATATCTCTTTATTTGAAATGTATTATATGAGCATAGCATCTTGTAAAATAGTAGAAATGAAAATGATGTCGTAAGACTAAATAGTATTCTTCAATGTACGTTTTTTTCTAGCTGATGCTAGTCATTTACTATTTGTGCAAGAAAGGGCACTCAGCAGATAGTTTAGGCATACGATAAGCAGTATATATAGTGTGTGAGTATGGACTGAAAATAGTATTCTTCAATGTACGTTTTTTTCTAGCTGATGCTAGTCATTTACTATTTGTGCAAGAAAGGGCACTCAGCAGATAGTTTAGGCATACATTAAGCAGTATATATAGTGTGTGAGTATGGACTGAATGTAAAACACGAAATAGTAAATATGTATATACTACTAGATCTGTTGTGTCTTATGCTAGCTATATTAGCACACTGTCTTTCTTTTCCTCATTGTTCTGTTTGTGCTCCATTATCGTTCTAGTTATCCTTTTTACCTTCTCAATACATGGAATTGTATACCTAACCCATCTAATGACTAAAATTAGGTAATTGAAGTCAACAAAGCCTTCTGTTTTAAATTCGTGTTCTTTACCTATATGTTGTCCGTTGTCTCTTTACTAGCTCTAGCTTAGCTTGTTATTTCATATGCAAATATTGTTAATCTTTTAAAAAATGTTTTAGATTGGGTTTCTAAACACATGTTGATGGTGCCTTCTGTCCTTCGCTTTCCTCTTTTATCTTTGTTATTTTGTATCTCTATCTTGTAGAGGATTCTTATCCTCCATTTTTATTCATCTCAACTAATTTATCCCTTTGTAAAAAAAAAAAAAGTGTTTGAGCAATGCCTTTGAATTATGCATCCAAGTGATCTGTCCATATCTTGACTTCGACATATTTTTGTAAATGAGATTATGGATGACAAAGAAAACAAAATGTTTTGAATTTTTGTACTGTTTTTTTATTTCCTTATGTGATAATTTTGGAGCTGTCGAAATATTTTGGAAGCATGCTGTTAAACTTAATATTTTGGTGTTTGAAATTTTGCGTTATGATAATTTTCATATAACTAGCTTTTTCAAATGCCCATGAATGATTTGCTCATTGTGTTTTATATCGAGTTTCTATTTTCTAACCAAGTAATTATGCACATCATTACATAGGTAGATCAGTTACAATTAAGCTGCTCAAATATTTTGTTCAAGTATTATGTATAATATTTTTTGGCAAATGTTAAAATTGTTAATGTAATTTATCTATTTCCAAACATTTATGCGTAATAAACGGATTCAGAAACCTGATGTTTGTATTTTCAGTTCTGTAGTCTGATATACGCCGCATGTTGAATTTTCTTTTACTCCTGTTAATTGTATGGACTAACTATAGAGTCCTACATTTTTTATCAGTGCACTGTGGCCTTTTAGTACGCTTGGATGGCCAGATTTGTCTACCGAGGATTTTAATAAATTCTATCCAACTACAATGCTTGAAACCGGGTATGTGGTTACTTGCATGTTTCACATGCTTGATGCCTATGAATATTTTCCATTTTTATAGTCTTTTAAAATTTTAAATAATGCATACTGCTGGATGGGTTTCTATGTGTTGTCATCTTAAAGCTGTTGAGGATATCCCATTCCCATTTGATTAAGAGGGATTTACTTCCTGGACGTTCCTTTTGTAGTGTTTGCTAAAAGAGAAACAGTCTGTACACTGTTGATTTTGGGTGTCATTAGTAAGTTGATCATATGTAAGATGTAATTGCAATCTAGTTTAGGATGTGTATTTAATTTGTTTTCTGTTTTCATTAAAATAAATCGTTTTTCATTATGATTACAAAAATATGAATTTGTTTTCATTTTAATTTTTGTTTCCAAAAGTTTTTTCTCACTGAAGAGCTTGGAAAGTTCATTTAATATGAATTGTTGTATAAAATATATTCAATTTATTGTTAAGTATTGCTCCTATATAAAGTGTAGTTTATATATATTTTATTTTGGAAAATGCTAATGAGTGTCTTTAGGGCATTGGTTAAGAAAACAAATATAGCAATATTGTGTTGGAAAATGTTGTATTGGACTTTTTAAAAGTTTCAAAATTGTTGTTTCCAATACAAAACTTCTTTTTTGGCTTCCATAACTAGTGCCTCTAGGGCACTTGCACTTGTTAGCATGACTCTTTTATTTATATGAGAAGACAACTATTCTACAATTTGCTCTTTGTGAGTAGTGAATGTGATTGCTTATGTAAGTTATGTTTCTATTTTATCTGTTGTAGCCTTGTGTTAGTATTGGTTTCATTCAAATTTATTTCATATTCTAATCCATTTTCCTTTGTGAATATTCTCCCAATTTATGTTGCGTTATATCTTTTGACAGGCATGACATATTGTTCTTTTGGGTGGCAAGAATGGTGATGATGGGGATTGAATTCACAGGGAAAGTCCCATTTTCTTATATTTATTTGCATGGACTCATCAGGGATTCTCAGGTCAATTCACTTTTGATATGCATTTTAAAATCATCAAAGTGTTAGCTAGACTGTTTTCCTCTCTTTTTTAATGAGTGTGGTAGATAAATTTATGCCTCGTTTGTAGACTGACTATGTAACCACTCTATTATTTTCAGGGAAGAAAAATGTCCAAAACATTAGGAAATGTAATCGACCCCCTTGATACTATCAAAGAGTTTGGGACAGATGCTTTACGGTTCACAGTAGCTTTAGGAACAGCTGGCCAGGTTTCTTTTACTGTGTTCAAAAAATGGTTTCTTTTTTTATCCAATGAGGAAGTTGATTACGTTATTAAAGATAGTGATGTGATTTTTAATTTTTTTTTTTTGTTAAATTTCAGGACCTTAATTTGTCCAATGAGCGGTTGACCTCCAACAAGGCCTTCACAAACAAATTGTGGAATGCTGGCAAATTTGTATTGCAGAACTTGCCTAAGGAGAATGATATATCGGCTTGGGAGAATATACTCTCTTATAAGGTCAGATGCAATCTTGGCTTCCAAAAGATAGAATGGTAAATTGTTCTATGTTTTTTTTTTAATAACACATATTTGCAATGATGACAGGTTAACTCTTTGTAAATCTCTTGTTAATTTTTTGAAGAATTTCGTGTTCCATCAAAAAATTGTTTTATTCTTTTCTTTTGATAAAGGACAAAATTCATTAAGATGAAAGAAAAACAAAATTACAGAGAACGGAGGATAAGGAATACTTTTCTCGACTAAAACACAAATTTAGTTAATACTGCTCCTTCAGTTCATTTTAGTTAACATATGTTTAGCTAATACTAGTCTAACTTTTTCTCTAAACTAATACTTTTCTTTTGATTTACTTTCTCAGTTTGACACTGAAGACTCTGTACTTAATCTTCCTTTACCAGAGCGTTGGGTGGTAAGGAAATTTTGGTTTTAAAATTTTCTTATGCCACTATTTGGACATCTGTGTGATAATCTTCCACTTTTCAGATTTCAAAACTTCACTTGCTTATTGAATCTGTTTGTGCAAGCTATGACAAATTTTTCTTTGGAGAAGTAGGAAGAGAAACATATGATTTCTTTTGGGCTGATTTTGCTGATTGGTATGTTGTTTTATACTGGTGGTATTTTATTCTGTGTCCCAATTTGATATTTGATGGTTGTTCTTAACACATCTGCAACCATTTCCATATGATCTTTGACTCTCTAGGATTTTCTTTGCCTTCATTGTGAGTAATACTCTGAATCCTCTCATTTCCTTGCTCTTAAGGTACATCGAGGCTAGTAAAGGGCGGCTTTACAACTCTGGAAATGATGGAAACTCCGTTGCTTTTATGGCACAAGCTGTTTTATTGTATACTTTTGAGAACATACTCAAAGTGCTGCATCCTTTCATGCCATTTGTAACAGAAGAGCTATGGCAGGTAAATATGACACAGTCTATTTAGTACAGTACTGACAAATCTATTGGAATTCTCTAAAACTGATGGGAAGGCAACTAAGGTAAGGATATTATGGGCAAACGCAAGATTTGGAGGGTTTATGAAAGGGAAGCTAAGAAAACTGTCGCAAAATTTCCAGTGAGGTGTTGGAAGTAATTAGTAAGGTGTCTAAGTTGTAGGAATATTTTATTTATTGATATATAATAAAATTTTCTCTGAATAATATATTTTTAGTTAAGATATTATTCTAATAATATCTCCTTAGTACTCCCTCCGTCCCAAATTATAAGACGTTTTGGTCATTTCACACGAATTAAGAAATACAATTATTACTTTATGGAAAAGTGAAATGATGTATGACTTCACACAAATGCCCTTCAATAATTACATTGGAAAACCAAATCAAAAGAATTGAAAGAAGAAGAGAAATAAATAGTAGAGGGTAATATTATGCAAAAAGTCATTAATGTTGTATTGGGATTGTAAAGTGACTTATAATTTGGGACAAATATTTTTGGCAAAATGACTTATAATTTGGGACAGATGGAGTATTATATAAGAATAAGTTTTGGAGTCTGAGAGGCTTTATGATGAAATTATGTATATTAGGGCTAGAGAATAGATATTTCCTCTTCTACTGTCATCCTTAATCAATCAATAATACACATTTTCAATCAATTTCTCTTGTTCATCTATACTTCTCTCCGTGCATTCTCCGTTTGTGATCCCCCAGCTACATTGGTTTCTATTAAACACCACCCTTGCGGTGATAGTTACCGTAACCGACAGACATAACATAATGATCTCTATGATCCTTTCTACTTTGTTACCGTATCTTCACTAGGATGGAAAACCCTGGTTTTTCTCCTGCAACACATTCTATGGCAGTGTTTTTCTCTCCATGTTCTCACATTGCAATTGGGTGTCCTCTTCTTGTCCATGCTTTCACTTAATAATTTGTGAATGTGAGATAAAAAACCATTCACGTGCTTTCACTTAATACATTAAGTTTCAGGATTGGTTGTTCCTGAATCATTGTATAGTATCCAGGCCTTGATGACCATATGGTCTAGAAGTTGAACCTTGTTACCCCCATTATTTTAAATGAAAGAAGTTAAATTTCAGTGCAAATTATGGTAGTTTGAACCTTGTTTCTCCCATACTCAAGCGTTCCTCTTTGAAGGTAAAACCATTTATGTACCTAAAGCAGTGCCAGCTGAAAAATGCAAGAAAACCCTAATTTATCCAATATTCCTTCCAAACCAGTGATTATTTGTGCTTAAGGGAAAAATATCGTTGGTATTATGTTACAGTTTCTTAGATTATCTCTTAGGAGTTTGTTACTATAAAAAATTTCCTTATTTGATTAGGATTAGGAGTCTGGTATTATATATAAGTGTTTGTGTGTACTCTTTTGTATTATAATAACAAACTAATCATAATTCAAAGCTTTGGATTCTTTATCTTCCCATCTTCCTTTTCTAAAACCCTACATAACTTGAACAATATAATGCAAGTTTGTTAAAGTTTCAATTTCTTTGTTTTGTCGACAGGCACTCCCTAACCGGAAGCATGCCCTTATTGTAACACCTTGGCCAGAAACCCAACTTCCAAGATGTACCAGCTCTATAAAAAAGTTTGAAAATTTGCAAACTTTGGTGTGTTTATCTCCTAATTCTATTCTCTCATCCCATTTGCACAACTCCTTAACATGATTTATTTACAGTAACTGTACTGGTGTAATGGTACCATGACAGCTTATTTTTTAATGTCTTAGGTTAGAGCTATCAGAAATACTCGTGCAGAATATTCAGTTGAGCCTGCAAAGCGAATATCAGTATCCGTGGTTGCAAGCAATGAAGTTATTGAATATATTGCTGTAAGTGTGGTTTACTCCTCATTTCTCAGGGCCCTGATCATCAGGAAAAAGGAACTAATTTTTCCGCCTTTCTTTGTATTGCAGTTTTTTAAACCCCATCTTTAGTCTGATTTTTGCTTTTTCAAGTATAAACCCTACGAAGTATTCTTTTCTTTTTTGTATCTTGCTGCTAAGAACATAACCTGCCTGGTTATTAGAGGAGTGAGGAGTCAATTGATTTCTAAGCAATAGTAGAACTGTCAGCCTTGTAATGGAAGCCTTACACTTCCTCTTATGCTTTTACTCTTGGGATTTAGTAAGTAATGTTATGCTGCATCATGTGCTTCTTCAGGAAGAAAAAGAGGTTTTGGCACTTCTCTCTCGGCTGGATTTACAAAATCTGCGATTTTTGAATTCTTCCCCAGGCATGCTTTCTGCTACACTTTGTACTCCCTGGGTTAAAAGTGAAATTATGTTTCCGTTTTATGTGTTTCTCATGTAAGTTGTTAACTGTCACTGAATCATTTATTTGGTGGATGTCATGTAATATCCTTCAGGAAATGCTGATCAATCAGTTCATCTTGTGGCTGGTGAAGGACTAGAGGCATATCTCCCTTTAGCCGATATGGTTGATATTTCTGCAGAAGTTCAACGTCTATCAAAGCGCCTTGTGAAGATGCAGAAGGAGTATGATGGAATGCTAGCTAAACTCAATTCTCCAAAAGTATGAAATAGTATATCTTACCTTCTACACTTTATAGATATGATGTTTAGCTATCAATATCAGTTTGTGAAGCCATTTCAATGGACAACTGGTTAAATCTAGATGCAAGCTACTTGTTTGCATTGAAAAAGTGCCCTTGGTCAAATTGGGCATTTTACTAAAAAGGGGATTTCTATTGGCATATTAAACAGAACTGGGGGAAAGGTACAAGTGAGTGTATCTTTTAGATATAAGAATACTACATTTAGAAAGGTAATATAAATATAAGATAAAACATTATAATATAAACTAATTTACCTATTGAAGTTCTTGAAGTCACTGTTCAATCAATAAAAGAGAGCAATGGAGGCTATTCTTCTAAAAGCAAACTAGGGTTTCAATTTTCAAACTTCCCCTAGGAAAGAGAGATCAAAGGAGGGAGGCCCATATAATCATGGGCTTGTCACCTTTTTTCACACTCTGATTCCTAATTGTAATAGTTAGGGATTTTGTCTTGAATTTATGCACTAAAGTAGTCTGCGCCCATAACATTGGCTAACACTTTCTGCAGTTTGTAGAAAAAGCGCCAGAAGAGGTGGTCCGTGCAGTGCAAGAAAAAGCAACAGAAGCTGAAGAAAAGATCACTTTAACCAAAAACCGACTTGAATTTCTGAACTCTAATGTTTTAGTTTCAAAATAGGTCCATTCAGAGTTGTTACTTCATTACCCATTCCAGCTACATCAAATGTTGTGACTAACATCATAGCATCTGTTGCAGTAAATGTCCATTGCAGATCAGCAAAACTTAATCGCAGCTCTTCTGCTGTGTACCATTATCACAAGAATACATACAGATTTTTCAAAATGCGGTTGCTCTGGGTCATTGTATTTACCATACCATCCTACCCTTGACCTTGTGTGTTACAAAATAACAAGAGACATAATATTGTCAAGAGAGACAAACGGGGAGTCTTCACATGGTGCTGTAACCCTCTGGTGGACTGTTTTTCAATGTATTAAGATTCTTGAGTTAGGTATTTCTAATTTTATTCTACGTATAGTTGGGCATTGCTAACTTTATTCTGCAGAAGTTTCCAAATAATATCCCTTTGCCTAAATGATTTTTTGTGATTATCAGTCACTGTAATTGACCATATTTGATTAAAATCAGGTGCTACTAAAAGCACCAAGGCAATTGGTTTTCCTCATAGAAAAGTGAATACTTGAATTTCTCTACAACAGATTTGTTCATAGAATAAGAAAGAGCATTTGCCTTGAGAAGACGTGTAGTTATGTAAAAACAAAATGGAGAGATGTGGAGTAAAAACTGAGAGGGTAAGCAATTATGTCTGACTTTCTCAAATAGAATCGATTATCACTACAATTGAGTTTTTGATTTTTACGCATAAATTTGAAATGAGTTATTTTCCTTCAATTAACCTTTTACTCGAATTAAATTTAATGAAACAGGTTATTTAAATTCAATTTTTGTTACCACAAAATCAACCCCACAGAATGCTATAATTTATTATCATAACAAGTTTATAGTTTATTTTATTAGCTTATAGTTTATTTTATTAAAGTTTATTTTTGAGACGTTATTTTAAATAATGTTTTAGCTTATAGTGTAACGTTTTTCTTTTCATTTTTATCTTTATTATTTTATCTAAAATTCACTACCACCTTTTATAATTTATTTTATTTTAAAATAAAATGATTATATATTAAATATTTTTTATGTCATTTAAATTTATCAATCAATTGAACTATTAATTTTAATAGTTATAAGTCATCAGCTGATGGCTATTACTCCAGTTATAAAAAATAAAACAATTATACATTAAATATCTTATATGTTTTATTTTAATTTGATAAATTAATTGAACCGTTAATTTTATAATTATCACTCAATCGTTGTTTTTACTGAGAGCTATGCCTGCAATTCAAAGTTTCATACAAGTAATTTCTCAAAAGTGGCGACTATGAGATTCCAAGTGCAAGTAATTTCTTAAATTGGAAAAAAAAATGTTGAAATGGTTTTTATTGTATTATCTGTTTCTAAGTAAATCAATAGTAGGACATGATTCTATAATTGAGTTACAGTCCATAATAAAAGCAAAAGGCTATAAAACTAGGGAAATTCGCTTGATACACATAAGTTACAAACATAAAAATGAAAAATGCATATTATATAAATGACTGAACAAACAATATCAAAGCAGGAAGATTATCAAGAAACAAAGTAAAAATTGCACCTAAAACAAAAATTAAAATAAAAGCAAATATTATCTTAACAATATATACTGAGCCTATTTGGTTAGATTCACTGCTTTCACCTCCTGGGACATTTGAAAGCTGAAGAAAAAGAAAGTCAACAAATAAAGGTTTAGTTAATTATTTCTAAGTTAAAACAATAAACAAAAAAATCTGCAAAATTATATGATTTTTAGTTTAATCTGAAAATAAACTTACATGTCTTGGTGTTTGCTTTGCCATTCCTTGAATAGGTCCTATACTTTGTTTTTCTTCTGTAAACAATAATGGAGAAATTCTCAACTATCAATACCTGTTTTTATTTATATTGTAAGGTAAAAGTAATTAAAAAAAATGAAATGAAAAATTGAATGAGGCAGAAAATGACCAGAAGAAAGAACGGTTTGAAGCTTCCAATCATCACCAAAATTGGAAAGGATTGCGTTTGGTCCAAAAGCAATTGCTTCTTCTTCTTCTTCGCCATCTTTTACAGCTTCTATGTGCGTTACCAACGGAACTCTTCCTTTCAGTTTCCGATTTATCAGCGCCACCGCGAATCCTGCATCGGTTCCCGGAGCGAACCGTAGGATCTTGCCGGAGGTTATGCAGTTAACCTCTAGGTATTGCGATGGCGGAGGCGGCGGTGGTGAATCTACTTCGGTCATCGGGATTCAACTGTGATTGGCTGTAGTTTGCGTGCAGAGAGAGAAAATTTTGTCTTGTTTTCAAAGTCCAAAGGTTTAGGATCCTCAAATAATTTTGTTTCTATCTCTCTCTCTCTTTAGTTTTATTTTTATTTTTTTATCTTTCATAATTTACACTTATTTAAAAAAATTGATATACATTAGTACACTATCAACCGATCATAATTATATCAAGTGTCAAATTATACTGTTGTTTTTAATTAAATTATATGACATGATTAAATGATAAAAAATTTATTGGATGACAGTGTAAAACTATTTCACAAATTTTATTAAATTACACATTTTTTACATAATCTACAATATAAGACCACAATTGCCTATTGAAATCACAATTTTACGCTTTGATTAAAATCGAGTACATCTTTTTGGGGTTAAATTGTGTCTTAAAAATGTTTTTTCTAATTATTTTCTAACTTGGTCCATCTGTAACAAATGCTTTCTTTTATTACTTGGATTTCGTTTGCCATTAAGCCTTCCTTTCACAAAAAAATATTTCATATGAAACCAAATGGATATTTTTCGGTTTCCCAAGGCTGGTTTTTTGGCTTTGCAATTTCAAAAAGCAAACATCACTTCTCTGCTCAAGCCTCACCTTCAGCTTTTCCCAATAACATCGTCACACACTCTTTTTATCCCTCAAATTCCATCTTTTTCTCACATTTTCATTTTGACATAAACATCATTCTCTTTCATTGTTCTCCATCAACTGCGTTTTTCTTCTGGTTTTCATGGCAAGACCTCTTGAGAAAGTTGCAGACATCAACGACAAGAAGGAGTTTTGGAAAGTTGTAGTGAAAGTCCATCTTAGATGGAATGTGATAACCGACACTAAAGAACACTTCGAGATGATTGTCTATGACAAAGAGGTGAGTTTGTTCAGACAACACTTTTTTTAAACTTTGTTTTTGCTTCATTGTTGCTCATTTTTTTAACATAAATCATGGTGATGATCCTTACGTTTTTACAAACTCGTGACAGTTGTATATCATTGCTTTATTTTGATGTTATAACATGATAAAGGCTTCCTTTGGGTCAGTTTATGTTACATATCATGTATTGTTCAAATATAAATGTTGTTCGAATGTTTTACATTGTTTGTTACATGTTTATGGTATACATGGTTTAAATATGTATGTTGGTTTTCAAACCCCTTGTGATCTTTTACTTAAACAATGGTTTATACGATATACTATTATGTTTTGATTGTTAAACATTGTTGTATCCATTTGTTTTCTTTCTCTATTACTTTTTCAAATTTAACTATCTTCGTTGGATTTTCCTTTACATATGAGTGATATACATGTAATTGTACCCCCAATGTATACGTAGACATTTGATTCCCTTTTAGTTGTAAACGACACTTGCACTATTGCAAACTTCCAGATTCAAGTTAATGATTTGGTTTTCAAACCTTCACCCCACAAATATCTCATTAAATTCACTAGAGGTACCACAGTTGGTGATAAAAACAAGCATCAAATACCCGACAAAGAAATGAAGTTAACTTTTTTAGTTGATATTATATCCAGTCGATGGAAAAAAGATATTCTGATAAGTAACACTATTTATTTCTTTTGTCAAATATCGTATTTACATATTATCTTCATTCACTTTATATTAACCACCATTTTCCCCAGATGTAATCGGAATGGAAGATGAAATCAGGCACGCACAGGGTCAGGTTAGTGGTAAGAAGCAACAGGTCAACTTGATCTTGCGAGACTTTGAGGTGTGTTTTTTTTTTCAAGTTCACACTAACCCTACCCTTAATGTATCCCTGTTATTTAGCCATTCTATTAACTATACTTTCGCATTTTATAACAACAACACTATTAATTGTACCCTCTGGGAGGCGTACGCAATGCAATTTATCAATTTTACTTCAGTATGCTAAAGTAAAATAAGAAGGTGGTCCATATCTTCTTTACTTTATTTTATGCATTATGTTTTATTAACAACCCATCTACTATAACGTAAATCATATATTTTTTTCCTGTAGACAAATATTCTATGTCTATTACCAACACATACAATGTTACCACAATGGTCATCAATGAAGATTTGGAACCAATCAATCATTTTCTCAAAAAGTACATCTAACACAAAATTTGCTTATGTCCATACGATTACATGTAGAAATGCAATTTTATGTAACATTGTTCTTTCTTTCATTATGTTATAGCATCCCAAAGGATACTTTGCTTTCCCTGTCAAGTCAGCGTAGCTCATAGAATATTCTTTCTTCGGTTCAACCAAGGATGGTCATTTCAGATCATTTTGTTTGGTGGGCTAATCCTAATGGTTTTTCGGTGAAAGCGGCTTACAAAAGGATTTTGGCCGGTGTGATCGGTGGGAATGAGAACTGACTATTTTAGATATGCTGGTTTGCGTTTGCGTTTGTTTTCGCAAAATGTCGCGGTAAGCAAGAGTCGCTGTAACACCCCGTTTTAATTAATATTATTTATATTATTATTTTCTAAAAATAACCGGTTGATGTTTATTTTGAATAAAATAATTATTATTTAATCGGTAATTCGGTCCGGTATGTAATTAATTGGGTTTATTTGTTTTACCGAAAAATAATTATTTTTGTACGATAATATTATATTTAGTGTGTAAATATTTTATTACATGTATTATTTGATTTATTTGTGAGGATGTATTTATATTAGTATTAATTGATTTATTATAAACTAATAAATTAATGTTACTTAATTATATTAAATTAATTTAATAAAAT